CCCAACCCGGCCTAACCTAACATATTTGCTTGAACAATTTGGAGGATGTTGATCAGGACAATGTCTTCAAAGCGTCAGATGTAACACAAACAAGCAACAACGGTTTCAAGCTCAACAAGCCACAATGTAGGACAGAAAAAAAAAATGTTTTTTTCACCCACAGGGGTTATAAACCCATAGAACCGCCTACCCGCCGAAGCCGTAAATGAATTTCAAAATCCAGTTGGAAAAGATTATCAAGGCAAATGTGGGGGAGGGGGGGTGAACCTCCGACAAGCCACCGGCTTCCTGTCCTTATCGAGGCCACTAGTCTTAGTGGCCCTCAGGAAAATTTTAAACTGTGTATGGAGTCTGCCCCACCACATCCTTCCTAGTGCTTTCCACTTGTTAACTACTCTGACACTGGAAAAATGCTTTCTAATGTCTCTGTGGCTCATTTGTGTACTAAGTTTGCACCTGTAGTGATCATGTCTCCCTCCTAGCTCTTCTGTCTGCCAGCGACGTGAGGTGCAATTCACGCGCCCTCTCCTCGTATTTTTGGAATTAGTCTAGTGGCATGTCTTTGAACTTTCTCCAACTTCGTCTTGTGCTTGACATGATTTGGACTCCATGCTGGAGCCACATATTCCAGAATTGATCTGACATATGTGGTATACAAAGTTCTAAATAATTCATTACACAAAATTCTTAAGACAGTTCTGATGTTAGCCAGCCTTGCATACCCCGCTGATGTTATTCTTTTTTTATGTGGGCTTCTGGAGAGAGGTTCGGTTTGATATCAACTCCTACACCCTTCTCTCTGTCCGTTTCATGGAGGACTTCGTCTCCCATTTGGTACCTTGTGTCTGGCCTCTTGCTCCCTCCACCTAGCTTCATTACCTTACATTTACTCGAGTTGAACTCTAGTAGCCATTTCGCCGGACCATTCGTTCACTTAGTGATCTACATCGTTTGTTCACAGCCAAAGGACCCGGGGGTTTAATATCTGGGCACGACAGAAACGGTGAGGCACGTTTCCTTTCATCTGATGCCGCTGTTCACCTAGCTGTTAAATAGTTACCCGGGAAGTTAGGCAACTGTTGTGGTTTGCATCCTTTGTGAAGTGACACAGAATATGTTCATGGTATTTTAGAAAAAGTATTTAATAGGTATAGGAATTGAGTCGCTTTGCAAGAATTTGTACCGTATGTATATATATATATATATATATATATATATATATATATATATATATATATATATATATATATATATATATATATATATATATATATATATATATATATATATATATATATATATATATATATATATATATATTATTGTATACTGGCAGCAGGTTTTCTTTTAAACATGTCTCATTGAATATGACTGCATATTTTGTATTTACTATCTTTTGATTTAGGGCTTCTATCCCTCTAACTATTTTCTTAGCATCAGGGCTTAGCTGAAAGAGCAGTTCTCCAACTCCTTTTTGGAGTTTTTGGTCTCCAAAAATATGGACATGGACTTTTTGGAATATGCGGTCATATTCAATGAGACATATATATATATATATATATATATATATATATATATATATATATATATATATATATATATATATATATATATATATATATATATATGTCGTACCTTGTAGCCAGAACTCACTTGTCAGCCTACTATGCAAGGCCCAATTTGACTAATAAGCCAAGTTTTCATGAATTAATTGTTTTTCGACTACCTAACCTAACCTAACCTAACTTTTTCGGCTACCTAACCTAACCTAACCTATAAAGATAGGTTAGGTTAGGTTAGGTAGGGTTGGTTAGGTTTGGTCATATATCTACGTTAATTTAAACTCCAAAAAAAAGAAATTGACCTCATACATAATGAAATGGGTAGATTTATCACTTCATAAGAAAAAAAATAGAGAAAATAAATTAATTCAGAAAAACTTGGCTTATTAGGCAAATCGGGCCTTGCATAGTAGGCTGACAAGTGCGTTCTGGCTATTAGGTACGACATATATATATATATATATATATATATATATATATATATATATATATATATATATATATATATATATATATATATATATATATATATATTATTAAATATGACGGAAAAAGTAAGATTAATAATTCTAACACGAATTTTTTCAATCTTTCGTACATTTCTTTTCACTGTTGGAGGTAAATCAAAAATCAATTCTCCAAAATTCATTTTTATTTCTAGTCTTAGACTAGAAATAAAAATGAATTTTGGAGAATTGATTTTTGATTTACCTCCAACAGTGAAAAGAAATGTACGAAAGATTGAAAAAATTCGCGTTAGAATTATTAATCTTACTTTTTCCGTCATATTTAATCATATATGTCTACAGGAAAGACTGCTACCATAATATACTATATATATATATATATATATATATATATATATATATATATATATATATATATATATATATATATATATATATATAGGTTCAGTGGAGTGACCCGTCAGGTGGTAATAGACACGTTGTGATTGGCTAAAGCCAATTGAAAAAAATGGTGATAAGTGACGGCTTATCGCAGCGGCCGACAACCACAAGGTCACGTTATTATTTTGACCGTGTACGAAGCTCAAGTAGCCAGCAGTGCGCTCCTATACCCTCTTCTTTATGAGGGACTACAGAGTTATCGTCTAATATCCCCGCCTCACAGGGATGATTAGTCATTAGTATGGACTCACGGGAAAATATGAGGCTTCAAGGTCAGGAAGTATGATGCTAGGATTTGGTGATAACGGTTGAAACCCTAACTAACCTTTGGGCTTTGACTCATCGTGTGATGTAATATATATAACAGATTCTTGCATCTTGAATACGTGAATGGAGATTTCCTCACCGCTTCACCCTACTTGTTTATTAAATGTATTAAATTGGATTATGGTCTCTGGTGCTAAAAAAAATTTCGTTAACGTTCCTGTAAACTATTTTCATGTTTATATTTTTTCCTGTACTTACCTAGTTGTGCTTGCGGGGGTTGAGCTCTGGTTCTTTGGGCCCGCCTCTCAACTGTTATTCAATCAACTGATTTTTTTCCACACACACATATCCCCAGGAAGCAGCCCATAACAGCTGTCTAACTCCCAGGTACCTATTTACTGCTACGTGAATAGGCGCATCAGGGTGAAAGAGACTGACCGTTTGTTTCCGCCTGTGCCCGGGATCGATCCTCGGCCCTTAGGACTACGAATCCCGAGCGCTGTTCACTCAGCCGTCAGGCCCCCCATGACGTCCCGATCACTCTACAATTTAAAGAGAACCTCTCCTTGTATATATGTCCTGTCATTTACTCTATAAACTGTATATATTATGATCATTCTGTTCTTGTTATTTACGGTGGACAATGGCTCTGTGTTAGTCACTCTTGTATTTTTTTTTTTTTTTTGTTTTTGTTCCATCTCGCCTCTAGTGTAGTGAGGGACAGTTCCTTCAGGCTTTACTTGTAGCCTAGCCACCAACCAACAGTTTATGAATGAGTTTTGTTGCATATTCAATTGTAGGTCTGATGTAGGATTTGTAGGGTACTAGATGGGGGTGTCCGGCTGTCCCGGGTCTCTCTCCCGTTCCTCTCCCATCTCTTTTCCTTTCCCCCCTCTCTCATCTCTCTTTCGCTATCTCTTCTCCTCCATCTCTTTCTCTTACCCTATCCCTTCCTCCCCATTTTTCTCCCTCCAACATCCTTCCTCTTTCCTTTTCGTCCCATCTTCCTCCCTCACCACACTTTCTCCTTCTCTCCTCATCTCTCACCTTTCTCATCCTCTCCACATTTCTTTTCCCTCTGCTTCCTCCCTGCCTCTTTCTCTCTCTTAGAATTGCAATACAGTATTATGAAGCACTGAAAAACTTAAAAAAGTGCTCTTAGGAAAACACATCGTCAATTTCAAACTATGAAAATTGCAAGGGGTCACTATAGATGCCGCTATTTCTTAATCAGTGGCACTGGGGCCTACCCCGGCTGGTCTATGATATTCACACACCCCTATGTGTTATCTTCCAAAGTTGGGTGAAGCTAGCTACAAGTCTGACAGACATTCTATTTAATAGATACGGATAGCAAGTGGAAGGCTCCTTAATTGTTCTCAAGACTATCCAGACACAGGCCAGTTTAGCATATAGACAGCTGTGTTATTATCCAAATATTAGCCTCTGTTAGGTTTGGGATTGTGCTTGGATTAGATTGGATTGTGTGTACTACCAGATCGATCTTGTTCTCTGATCCAGCAAACCTTCATTCTGTACTATTTATAGGAGTTTCTCACTCATGATAATTGCATTTGTCCGAATTAAAGTCTAGCAACCATTTTGGCCCGGGTCAGAGACCGGGCCTTCGGGACATTGATTTCTGGAACCACCACAAAGTATGCATGAGTGTTCGTGAGTATTTACGATTTCTAGCTGCGGGGTCCAGCTGTTAGCTCTTGGAAATGTGTGTTTAACACCTATATATTGTTTGAGGTCAAAAGCCATATGAAACAAATCACCTAAAATATGTTAGCTCCTCATAAACAAGGAACTACCATTAGTTCCAGAACTACCATTACTATAACTCCCATTTGCATACTCTTCATTTCATGAGTGAGAATTCTTAGATCAGGTATTTAAGTAGCTGTTGAAGGCTGTTAATTATAATATGGTTTCAGTAGTTTGCTATATAGTTACCTCCATATATTAATCAGCCAAATAATTAATTTATTTCTAGATTTGTATATATAAATAAATTATTTTAAACTGCATATTAATACCCCCATTAGCTGTGTGATCATATCACAGCCCAGTTAATTAATTTAATGATCATAAAATTGATAAACTGGTACTCTAGTCTTATTCTTTTGTAGAATCATAAAGAATAGAGTATAAGGGATTCCATCGTCTATAACGCGGCCAGGCGCGGCATATAAAGGTTCTGAGAGCGGCTAGCGATGCTCTCCTGCACCCCAGCTGTTGATTGGTATGTTTCTCTCCGGCACTTATAACTTGCATTGACAGACAGTTGGGGGGGGAAAGAATCGCATGCACAAAAGCCGTGGCAGAGAAGCGTGTAAGGTCGCTCAAGATGCTGGCGTGTGACTATACCAACGTGCTCATCGCCGTGGTGATGATTATGCCCTTCATCTACGAGTTTAGCCACCGCTTCCGGCTCTACCTCAAATTTCTCATCTATTATTCCATGGTGATGCTGTGCTCTGTGCTCTTCGTGCCCTTCCTCATCTGGAGGCCAGGAGATGTCAGGAATACTTTGTGAGTTCTCGCCCGCTCGGTTTTGCTTCTTGTCGTGTGTTTGTGAGCGTGTCTTCTGTTTGTGAGCGTGTCTTCTGTTTGTGAGCGTGTCTTCTGTTTGTGAGCGTGTCGTCTGTTTGTGAGCGTGTCTTCTGTTTGTGAGCGTGTCTTCTGTTTGTGAGCGTGTCGTCTGTTTGTGAGCGTGTCTTCTGTTTGTGAGCGTGTCGTGTGTTTGTGAGCATGTTTGTGAGCGTGTCTTCTGTTTGTGAGCATGTTGTCTGTTTATGAGCATGTTGTCTGTTTATGAGCATGTTGTCTGTTTATGAGCATGTTGTCTGTTTATGAGCATGTTGTCTGTTTATGAGCATGTTGTCTGTTTAGGAGCATGTTTGTGAGCGTGTCTTCTGTTTGTGAGCGTGTTGTCTGTTTATGAGCATGTTGTCTGTTTAGGAGCATGTTTGTGAGCGTGTTTGTTTGTGAGCGTGTCTTCTCTTTGTGAGCGTGTCTTCTCTTTGTGAGCGTGTCTTCTCTTTGTGAGCGTGTTGTCTGTTTGTGAGCGTGTTGTCTGTTTGTGAGCGTGTTGTCTGTTTGTGAGCGTGTCGTTTGTTTGTGAGCGTGTCGTTTGTTTGTGAGCGTGTCGTTTGTTTGTGAGCGTGTCGTTTGTTTGTGAGCGTGTCGTTTGTTTGTGAGCGTGTCGTTTGTTTTGATGAGCTGTTTGTGAGCGTGTTTGTTTGTGAGCGTGTCGTCTGTTTGTGAGCGTGTTTGTTTGTGAGCGTGTCTTCTGTTTGTGAGCGTGTCTTCTGTTTGTGAGCGTGTCTTCTGTTTGTGAGCGTGTCTTCTGTTTGTGAGCGTGTCTTCTGTTTGTGAGCGTGCTTCTGTTTGTGAGCGTGTCGTCTGTTTGTGAGCGTGTTGTCTGTTTATGAGCGTGTTTCTTTGTGAGCGTGTCGTCTGTTTGTGAGCGTGTCGTTGTTTGTGAGCGTGTCGTCTGTTTATGAGCATGTTTGTTTGTGAGCGTGTCGTTTGTTTGTGAGCGTGTCGTTTGTTTGTGAGCGTGTCGTTTGTTTGTGAGCGTGTCGTTTGTTTGTGAGCGTGTCGTTTGTTTGTGAGCGTGTCGTTTGTTTGTGAGCGTGTCGTTTGTTTGTGAGCGTGTCGTCTGTTTGTGAGCGTGTCGTCTGTTTGTGAGCGTGTCGTCTGTTTGTGAGCGTGTCGTCTGTTTGTGAGCGTGTCGTCTGTTTGTGAGCGTGTCGTCTGTTTGTGAGCGTGTCGTCTGTTTGTGAGCGTGTCGTCTGTTTGTGAGCGTGTCGTCTGTTTGTGAGCGCGTCGTCTGTTTGTGAGCGCGTCGTCTGTTTGTGAGCGTGTCGTCTGTTTGTGAGCGTGTCTTCTGTTTGTGAGCGTGTCGTCTGTTTGTGAGCGTGTCTGCTGTTTGTGAGCGTGTCTGCTGTTTGTGAGCGTGTGTGCTGTTTGTGAGCGTGTCTGCTGTTTGTGAGCGTGTGTGCTGTATGTGAGCGTGTGTGCTGTATGTGAGCGTGTGTGCTGTTTGTGAGCGTGTGTGCTGTTTGTGAGCGTGTGTGCTGTTTGTGAGCGTGTGTGCTGTTTGTGAGCGTGTGTGCTGTTTGTGAGCGTGTGTGCTGTTTGTGAGCGTGTGTGCTGTTTGTGAGCGTGTGTGCTGTTTGTGAGCGTGTGTGCTGTTTGTGAGCGTGTGTGCTGTTTGTGAGCGTGTGTGCTGTTTGTGAGCGTGTGTGCTGTTTGTGAGCGTGTGTGCTGTTTGTGAGCGTGTGTGCTGTTTGTGAGCGTGTGTGCTGTTTGTGAGCGTGTGTGCTGTTTGTGAGCGTGTGTGCTGTTTGTGAGCGTGTGTGCTGTTTGTGAGCGTGTGTGCTGTTTGTGAGCGTGTCTTCTGTTTGTGAGCGTGTCGTCTGTTTGTGAGCGTGTGTTTGTTTGTGAGCGTGTCTTCTGTTTGTGAGCGTGTCGTCTGTGTGTGAGCGTGTCTTCTGTTTGTGAGCGTGTCTTCTGTTTGTGAGCGTGTCTTCTGTTTGTGAGCGTGTCTTCTGTTTGTGAGCGTGTCTTCTGTTTGTGAGCGTGTCTTCTGTTTGTGAGCGTGTCTGCTGTTTGTGAGCGTGTCTGCTGTTTGTGAGCGTGTCTTCTGTTTGTGAGCGTGTCTTCTGTTTGTGAGCGTGTCTTCTGTTTGTGAGCGTGTCTTCTGTTTGTGAGCGTGTCTTCTGTTTGTGAGCGTGTCTGCTGTTTGTGAGCGTGTCTGCTGTTTGTGAGCGTGTCTGCTGTTTGTGAGCGTGTCTGCTGTTTGTGAGCGTGTCTGCTGTTTGTGAGCGCGTCTGCTGTTTGTGAGCGCGTCGTCTGTTTGTGAGCGCGTCGTCTGTTTGTGAGCGCGTCGTCTGTTTGTGAGCGCGTCGGCTGTTTGTGAGCGCGTCGGCTGTTTGTGAGCGTGTCTTCATTTTTGGTAACACGTTAGCCATTTAAATTTGGTTTCTTTAATCTCGCCACTATATTTAATTTAATTTCAAAATTTGGTCGTGCCTCTAGGTTATTCATAACTGGATTTATACACTAGTTTATTATGATAGTTTTGTCACTGACAAAACTATAGTTTGGGTTCTTTGATGTTGACTTTGACTGTGTGACGCATTATTGTAACATTTTATTAGTTTACCTTTAAATGTACACATGCGTGCACTGGTTCAGTGTCGGCATTAAATGCAACTGATAATTTACTTTAAATAAACCTGATGTATTTATATTGGTGGTTTAATTAAGTAGCATTGAATTTGTATGCACTTGCTGTAATTATCTTCTAATCTGTGCATATTTAACTTGCTAGTTTTGTATTTTTGCATAGTTGTACAATTCAGCATAGTAAGCATTCTATACTGTTTAACAGTGAATTGTGATGTCTTAAAAAAAAAAAAGTTAGTTTAACTATTGTAAGTGATACATAATTAGGCCCAAGTTAGGTAAGATTTCCTTAGAATCAGGCTTTATATAGGGCATAATTAAAAAAAAAAAATGTACATTTGGGCAATTTTGCTTCTCTTAACTTAGTTGTGTGTGACTAGAGAATACTTGAAAACATGCTCGTCCCGAAGTGAAGACTGGATAAGACTTTTCATTTCATTAATTGGTAAAAAAGTATTTCAGGGTCAGCTGAATTGTGATGGATGTGTGAGCCTTTAGGCCATGAGCATAAACAGTCGGGCAGATTAGGGAATTGCCAAGAAAGCCTGACTTTAGGCTGACTTTTCAGTTTTTACTAAATTTAGTTTTTAAGTCTTTTTGCAAAGCTTATAATAATGGCCATTCTCAAGAGATTTGCTGCTTTAAATGTTGGCAAGCCTTGGGAATGTGCTCATGTTCTGAGGAGAAAAGCTTTCTTCCTTAAACTGTTTGTCAGTGATGTCCAGTAAAGATAATAGATCATGTGATTTATTTAATTCTAAGCACACCTTTAGCAATTTGCTAATGCTTTGACACTAGTTTATCATGTTTAGCATTTGTTGGTTTTGGTTTGTTGGCTTTCTTAAACTTGTAATTGACAAGGAAGTCGCATTGCCTCGTCTGTTTCTGCAGCAAGGATACTGTCTTGATTGGGTAGTCTGCCTTTGATGAGGCTTTTATGTAAGTTTGTAGCATGGGTATGTAATTTTTGGTTTTACCTTTTGTTGGGGATTAAACTCGGGGAGTAGCAGCACGCAAGCACTGAAAATATGTTTTGGGCTTGTAATTACCCAAAGTGTAGTTACAGGATGAGAGTTATGCTCATGGTGTCCCATCTTCCCAGAACTGTCATATACCGCTTTGACACTACTGGCGGTTTTGGCCTCCACCCATACCTCGCCTAACTTGTTCCAACCATCTACCACTCTGTTTGCGAAAATAAATTTCTTATCTTTCTTAGGCAGCTTTGTTTAGTTAGTTTAAATCTATGACCTGAAGTTCCAGGTCTCTGGAATTCTTCCCTATCAATTTTATAGATTCCTGTTGATATTTTGTATGTGTTACCTGGTGGTGGTTGGGTCCCCAATAGGTGTTTTAATTGGTGTTTTGTAAGACCCTATAATTTTGCAGTAAATTATTTTGGTTGAATTGACATTTTTTTTGGGCAACTCCAAAGCACTTTAAATTGGTTCTATAGGAATGTCAGTCCCTGTGGCATTAATTCATTCCACTTCCATATAAGCTGTGGTAGCAGCAAAATAGTTTGTTCAAAGTTGGGCTTTTCAAAAAATTGAACACGTTGTATACAGAACACCACTTGGTTTGTGAAGCCTTCGTGGGCGAGACCTGTTGGTTATCGTGTAATTTAGGGGAAAAAAAAAATACATGTAGGGAAAAAATGGAGAAGTGTCAGGAAAAAATTCTAGGGGGAAAAAATTGACAGGTTCTTAGCATAATTGCGACAGTATTTTGTTTGTACTCGCCAATAAGAGAAGTCCCGATCCACTTATGTTGATGATAAATATTGATGAAGCATAGTTATTTACATGGAAGAGGTGATGGTGGATGTTGGTGTTGGGTTGACTGAAGTGGAGATCAATGATGATAAGGTAACCTCGGATGTTGACGCATTTGTATCAACATGTGATGAGTCACACGCAGATGAGGCAATGCCAGCTTTCTTGGAAGCCTTTGCAAAAGACTCTTTAATTGACATTTGTTACATCCCCTTTGATCTTGTTTTCAAAAACTTCATATACAAATTGTACAGATTCATCATGTCTTTGGGTTTTAAACTGTTATGTATATAAATGCCAGAATGCCTTAAAAATGTTGAACTTTTTCCATATTACATTTTTCCTTCATTTCTTCATCCTCTTCCCCTTCCTCGCCATCTTCATTGCACTCTTCTGGCCTTTTTGCTGTACATACTAATTCTATAATTTCATCATCAGCCATGTTTCAATTTTTTGGGGACTTCATCAAAATCTATCCACTTATCTGTCATCTTCTGTTGTTTCAGTCACCAGTTCTGCTCTCAGTTCTGCGGACTCGGTTCCCTTGACATAGGCTAGGAG